AACATACCTTAGTGTAGTAATAGCATCAATTGCTTCATATTGATGCTTCATGAATGACATGTTTTATCATAATTCTTCAATTTTAGTCACACCTCTTTATACTTAGCTTACAATATAAACTACAAAATACACGAAACTTTGAGCAATACTTACAAAACGTATATACAACCTTTCTTTAAAATCAAACATAACCCTCCTCATACATAAAGCGCCACAAACATCTTTTTCGAGTAAATAAACAAACACCAGTTCATTGTACTGACCAGCTGTTTCATTAACTAAATTAAATTAAATCATCGAAACTTTAGAAGCATGCCAGGCGTAGCCCTTTGGAAATCAGCCTGTGGGGCAGAGCCCTTAGGAAATTCATCCATATCAATACTTTTCGGCAAATCTACACACTCTAAGCTTCGATTTGATGTATCATATGCTTATATTTGTATTTGGTAAATGGCCTTAACCGTTTACATACAATTTGATTGTATCACTTTAATAATATAATAGATAGATTTGCCAACGGATTTAAACCAATTTTACAGTTTGATTAGGCCTAAAAACGATTATTATAAAATTTGATGACACTATCAAAACTTTCAAATAATTGTAATTTGCTTTGGTTAAAGCGTAGTAAATCCCCTAATTCATTTCTGTATTTGTGTGTGTAAGCCCGTTGGTAACGCATTAATTTCCTTATTTCTCAGTGTTTCGTGAAAAAAGAGCACCTTTGTTAATGAAAATTAAAACCCGAATAAAGTGTGCAGTAGTGAGGTTGAGGCAGTATTTTTACTACTTTTAACCAGTGTGAAAAGTAACTTTCAATTACAGGCCTCCGTAAGGGCTATGCCTCATAGATCTATAAAGCAGTTCCTTTTATCATTAGATATAAAATATGGACTAACATGATTGGTTGACACTTAATTGCGAAGCATTCGTTTTGGCTTTGAAACTGTCAGATATTGTGTTTGCGAAGGTTTATTATGTATTCCTATACAATAATAGTTTAACCAGCATATCTGGAAAAATGCACACTAAATATGCAAACCAACTCCTGTTCTGAATACAAGGTTTCAACCTACTACAAGATTCCCGTACGTAGAACGGGCAAACAGCTAGTATTTTGATAAAATTTGGAATATGTTTTTATTTCTTACCAACTATTAACATAAAAAAAACAGTTTAACCCTCCCTGATGCAGCAATCCTAAGTACTTGTTAAACTAATTCTATTTAAATAGGAAATAAATGTTATATTTTTAAGTAGACATTTTAGTGTAAATCTAATCAGGCAAATGGAAAATGCTGGTTTGCTGCGGCGGGGGTTTTTAGTCTTCACGTACAGAGACTTAAATGTTTGTATTAAATTGTTAGCAATCATTAATCGTGGACAGAATCTTCCACAAAAGATAATTACAATATAGTTTAACACCCTAGAACTCCTTAGAGTAACATTAAAAAAATATTTTTTGTTAAGGCTTCGTCATAGTGTAAAAAATACTCAATACAACAAATTCATTAATTTTACATAAGTAAACGTTGATAGTTGTATGCGTATTGTATTTTTTATATATCTTCTGTATACATCTAGTCCTCTATATTTTCTGTGTACACAAATGCTTTTGTATACAATTTATTTTGCAACTCACAATAACTGAGAAATATGTTTAACCGGTGAACTGTTTTTATAAATTTTTGCCATTATTTCTCAACCCGTGCTTAAAAAAATAGTGACTCGTGGATAAAGCCAGATACCAAATTTAATCTAAATCGGACCACAGGTTTTGTCTGTAGATCTGTATCTGGATCATACAAGTGTGTATTATATTACCTGATATTACTCAAAATATATTTTATTCTATAACGTTTAATTAAATTAAACATTAAAGTCACGCTCCCTCCATTTTTGAAGTATTCAGTCCAAAAATGTAATAAATTTACTTGCGCATACTTTTTTATTTCGTGTTAATAAATAATTGAGGTGATGCAATACACTTATGTAGGCAGTCGCAGCAGTCAAAGCCGGGCATAGCGCCTAGAGTTTCACGAACGCAAACCGCGCAACGAGTAGCTAAATGAGCCGTAGAGTAAGTGAACCATCTAATATTTTGAAGAGGGTTCACTTACTCTACAGCTCATTGTGCCAATGATCTGTAGTGTAAGTGAGCCATCTAATATTTTTCTGCAGGCTCGTATAGTATACGAGCCTATTCCTATAATTTATATTGATTCATGATTTTGGCTCGTATACTATACGAGCCGATTCCTGAATTATCAAATAATTCGTGCGCTTGGCTCATAGTCACTATGATCTGTAGAGTAAGCGAACCATCCTACTGTATTTTTAAATATAATACACGAGGCTCATAGGCACAATGATTTGTAGAGTAAGTGAACCCTCTTCATTTATTTTTTATTTTCGATAAGCTCGTATAGTATACGAACCTGTAGTGCAAGTGAACCTTCAATATTATTTACAAAGCTCGTATAGTCTATGATCTGTAGAGTAAGTGAGCTGTCCCCGATTACAGATAGGCCTATAAATTCATGCGAGGACATTGCTGCGGGCAGGACTGGATGAAGTAAACTGAATCAGGTTATGACAGACCGACGTAGTCTCTGGATTGTCGTCTGCGTTTTCAACAGATGTTAGGACTAATTGTAGTGACAGAGGGGAGTGTTGAAAATATAATGGGATTCATAATTGAGTTTTCCATTCAAAACTATTGACAATAATAACCAATTTTTATGCTGGATATAAATGATAAAAATGATGGTCTCGAAATTCTACATTACTGCGTGTATAGTCCAATATCAGCTGTTAAAAACGCACAAAACAGACGACAATCCAGAGACCACGTCGGTCCGTCATAACCTGAACTGATTCAGTTTACTTCCAGTCCTGCCCGTGCCAATGTACTCTTGTGCATTGATAGGCATATCTGTAATCGTTTTGTGTTAAATGTTTGTAACGTATTCTGACGACACCTCCAGAAGTGGATCTGTTTAAAGGCCTAGACTGACGATGGCGGAGTTAAAGAACCACCAAAACATATTATGTAGCAAGTAAAAGTCAGCGAACACAGAATAAAAAAAGTCGACACTAGTAAATATTAAGGATTGTCTGATAAGGTGCGTTTTACCATTCTTAGAAGCAATCTTAATTACGAATGGCAGAATGTTGTTGGTGTTGATAGTGAGCTACTTAGAAAAAGCTTTTCAGTCTGATTATACAAAATTCTACATTCATTATGACAGTTAACAAAAAAATATTCCCCCCCAAAAAATTCCTTTGCGCCACGGTCCCCCCCCTCTGGGCACCCCTGATAGTGTGATATGTTGCCATGTTTTAGCGAATTTCCCTATAGGGAAGTAGCTATTACCGTAGGTCTCATGGTAAGACTTAGGCCCGGGACCGATTTACTTTTTCATTTTGATGTCCCAGAGGCCAAAAACACCATTCGTTCAAATTTTTATATATGTATATATATATATATATATATATATATATATATATATATATATAGATTTATATACCTATATATACTAGCTGACCCGGCGAACTTCGTATCGCCTAAGTTATAGGTTTCCCCTAAGACAGACCGATGGAAAGAAAGTACCGTTACGTTTAATTTTCAAGATGATCTCGTTCGCATCGCTCAATCACGTCCTGGTTGAAGTTCGTTCGCTACGCACACTCACCTTTGGGTTGGAGCTCGTTCGCTACGCTCACTCACCTTTAGGTTGGAGCTCGTTCGCTGCGCTCACTTGCCTTCAGGTTAGCTCGTTCGCTACGCTAACTCGCCTCCAGGTTGAAGTTCGTTTGCTACGCTCACTCACCTTTGGGTTGGAGCTCGTTCGCTACGCTCACTCACCTTTTGGTTGCAAATTAGCTGTTGTCATAAATGTAAAAGAAATAATAGTGCTGCACCCTGTTGGTAATCCTTGTAACTTTAATGCTATTGAACATCATAGAACAGAACCAACTTGTTTAATTGAAACAGCTGTTAAGATTCATTAATTCCATTTCTCATAAGGTTAACATGGGAAACTCCAGAGCCACTGGGGCGGAGCCCTTTTAAGAATTTCGAAACGGGAAATAGTTTACGTCTGATTCGCATACCTACAGAATTTACACACCAAATTTCATAACGATCGGTGAAGTCGTTCCGGAGGAGTTTGCAGACAAACACTGTGACACGAGAATTTTATATATTAGATATGTGTTCGTGGACACGATAACTTGAGTAATCTTTATCCGATTTTGATGAAATTTGGTTTGAAGGTGTAAGGCGGGATAAACTTGAACGAGTTCGCGATCCAGCATGATCGGACCATGGGAACAGGGTTTTATGGGGGGTTTTATGGAGTAAAAATTGGTTTTTCTCACTTTTGACCCTCAAAACAAAAAATTTCCCAATTTTTCTCTAAACCTTCTTAAAGAGCTTAAAAAAACAAACAATTCAGTATATCAAAGTGTTTTTGTACGGCTATTGGTTACGGAGAAAACTAAAAAAATGGTAAATTTAAAATTCCCATGTTATTCTTACGGAAAATATTGTTAAATGTTGTAGTTTGCTTGTTTATGGATATCTTTTGATCAAACTTGGCAAATATATTCATTTTATACTAAGCAATAATTATTTTACTTAAAACACACACTTTATTAGTTTCCTTGTAGCAGCAAACCTAGGTACTCGTTAAACCTAATTTTATTTAAATAGATCAATTGAAAATCAATTCAGCCAAATGGAAATTCGCTTAGACGGCAGGTTAGCTGCGGCGGGGGTATTTTTTTATATAATTAAATAAGTATAGATATGATTAGGCTATGAATTGTTTATTTTTTATTCTCATATAAAAATAGCCGAAGTTGATCTGAAAAACAGTATCGTACAAGAAAACACTCATCAGAACCAATTTTATCCATAACTTACAGTAGATTTCCTCAGCAAATTTTTATAGGCCTACATAGTATAAGAAAAAAAAAACACAAATCCTAAAAACAGATTTTATTTACAAACATATTTACACTGAGCAGTTCAAAGTTCAAAACTTGTTGAGGCACTGCAGCAAGATACTTCTCAGCTTAAGTCGCAGGTCTTGATCAGCGACTCCGCAGTAGATATGGGTAGAGTTGTCATCTATCTGAATCAGGGTGTCATGCTCTTGCTGAAACCAACGGACATCAGGTCGTTAGTGTTGTTTGAGTGGGAAAGTTCAGCATTAGTACATATAGTTACTTTTATTTGATTTATTCACAGACCAAACTAACACAAGACAAAAATCTACACTACCACAGATGAAGTTTGTAAACTTTACACTTCGTTGGAAACCATAAACAGCGTAAACTGTTCAATTACTGCTTTTCACTCACATTTTATTAGTAATGGTAAAAATCAAAACAAAGAGAAAAAATAGTATGCCACAAATTTAAGTTTTTATATATTAGTGGGAAGTTTTACTGTTGGGGTCGCTTAAATTAGTTTGGCCTAGGGCCGCAAGTACCCTAAACACTGCAGAAATGTATGTTTTTGGTACAGGGACACACTTTTCTACAATATTGGTTTTAGGACATTATGAGAATATAACAAACCCAATACAGGCCCACGTCAACTTTGAGCTCACCAGATGAATGATAAACCCAGTCCGGCGTGGCTCCACCTTAGCGTCAGTGATACCCTCTTGGTTGAGCCGCTGGACAAACTGGTCAATCTCCAGTGGCCCGTACTCGTACTTGAGGTTTCTCATTGGCTCCCCTGGGCTCCTCAACCGAGGCCCTGCCACCCCGGAGCTGGTAGTGGCTGTGTCATCCTCTCCTTTCAAAGACTATAGAAAAAAATATGAAACATCAATTGGTAACTTGCTCTGAAGAATCATTTACATTTACACACAAACAAACAAACACAATATCTGGGTATTTGATTGACTGCAGTGAGAGAATAACACAAAAATGTCATATAACCGTTGGTTGGAAAATTGAGACTCTAACTTAAGTAAATTGACAAATAAAAAAACCTTGAATGTCCCACTAACCTGCAGTATATATCTATTGTCTTTAACAAGTAGTTTGCCAGTGACACTGCACACTCCGACGCCATTCTTGCCTTCCACAGGCACAAGCTCCTTGGCCAACTCAGGATCCAGCTGTACACGAGCCTTGACACACTTCACCGGCAGCTTCAACACGTCTCCTCGCTTGACTGACAAGATCACTGGAGCCGTCACTTGTTTGCGATCTCCCTGCAACAGACAAAAACTTCAAAGCACAAGTACACAATGGGCATTGTCAATTAATTAATATTGTTATTAATCGTCAAATATAGTAATAGTTTACACAACAATCGGGTAAAGTGTTAAGGACACGAGGAGAAATTTAAGGTACGAGCCTTGGTGAGTGCCTTAAAATTTTTTACGAGTGTCGTTAAGACTATTTACGCGAGACTACTTTACCCAAGACAGTTTTGTTTATAGCCCCTCACTGAGAGTGATGCAACACTCATTGTACCAACCACTCATTAACAATTAAATTGATCTTAACAGCTGATAAGTTGACGTTTGAGGCATTACAATTTTACTTCTTTTCTCTCACTCCTTGAACCTCTTTGGTCCGATACTTGAATTGTAAAGTAAAATAAACAATACTGTAAAGTCTATCTTTTCAATTCTAAGAACTTAACTGAAAAGGCCAGTTTAAAACAAGGTTGTAGGTAATGGTGTTTTAGCTTGTTATAAACAGAAATAACACCATTTTAATCACAGTTAATCAAAATCAATAGACTATTTCCTACAGTCACCCGACAAAGTTGGCTTCCTTGTACTGTTTATAGTACAGAAAGCTGCTAATTGCTGCATATTTATACTTTTCCGTACGGTTTATACTTTGTCGTACGGTTTATACTTTGCCCACATCAGGATTCAAAGGAAACAACACAAAACAGCGTGGTTCTATTATGCACGTAATCCGTGTACACTTGGAAATAGGTTGGCAACACTTAAAGATAATAATACTATGAGCGGCTGATTGACTATTATAACTATGATTTAACCTGTCATTTTGTGTTTATAGTTTCGGTATTTCTGAACTTTCTGGACTTTTCTTTTAAACGTTTTTAAAACATTCCTACGATCTTAATAAACAAAAAAATACCTTAAAAGCATTTTTTTATGCACGGAAACCACTTCAAATTACAAAAACATACGGAACTATATTCTCAAAACGCGGAGCACCTTTCTTGCCGAGGAAAAATAGCGGAGTGATACGGACCGGGTACTACTTTCTCTAGGGCACCTATTTGTGTTGCCAGCTGAACCTAAAAACAAGTTGTATAGTGTTTGAAAGACTAATTATTTATATGCTTTATAGTGACTGTAGGAAAAATATAATGTGTAACACGAGAGCAAAAGGCCTTTGCTGCACTCGAGATCATTCCCACATCAGGATTCAAACGAAACAACACAAAACAGCGTGGTTCTATTATGCACGTAATCCGTGTACGCTTGGAAATAGGTTGGCAACACTTAAACACATTATAAAACACATTATATTTTTCCTACAGTCACTATAAAGCATATAAATAATTAGTCTTTCAAACACTATACAACACGTTTTTAGGTAAACGTTGCTCTCGTGTGCAGCAAAGTGCCACTTTACCCACTAGTTACACAAATAACTATTGAGTCAAACATTTAAGCGAGGTATTTGATTAAATAAAATATTACTGTAGTGATGACTAGTGAAGAGTTAAGGATATACCCTGTATTCTTTTCAAATGGCTGATTTTGTTTTGGATAGGAATAAAAAAACTGTTCTAAATATTTATCTATACTGTACAGGTGTGCTTGCTCTTCCTATCCAAAACAAAATCAAACCCATTCTGGCCCAGAGCCCTTTGACAAGAAAATTTATTTAGGAAGATTGTGATTGATGTTACATATTCATATAACATAATGAGTGTATTAATGTTGTTTAGGGTTCAGGGACAGGACAAGATATAACTCACCACAATCTGCTCTTTGCTGATGACCAGATCCAAGCGCAGAGGGTAGTTCAGAGGAGGTTGTTCAGGGACAGGACAAGATAGGACAGATCAAGACTCACCACAATCTGCTCCTTGCTGATGACCAGGTCCAAGCGCAGAGGGTAGTTCAGAGGAGGTTGTTCAGGAACAGGACAAGATAGGACAGATCAATACTCACCACAATCTGCTCCTTGCTGATGACCAGGTCCAAGCGCAGAGGGTAGTTCAGAGGAGGTTGTTCAGGGACAGGACAAGATAGGACAGATCAAGACTCACCACAATCTGCTCCTTGCTGATGACCAGGTCCAAGCGCAGAGGGTAGTTCAGAGGAGGTTGTTCAGGGACAGGACAAGATAGGACAGATCAAGACTCACCACAATCTGCTCCTTGCTGATGACCAGGTCCAAGCGCAGAGGGTGGTTCAGAGGAGGTTGTTCAGGGACAGGACAAGATAGGACAGATCAAGACTCACCACAATCTGCTCCTTGCTGATGACCAGGTCCAAGCGCAGAGGGTAGTTCAGAGGAGGTTGTTCAGGGACAGGACGAGATCGAAGGACAGATCAATACTCACCACAATCTGCTCCTTGCTGATGACCAGGTCCAAGCGCAGAGGGTAGTTGAGAGGAGGTTGTGTGTAGCACTCGGGCAGCACAAGGTGTTGAGGCTTCAACTCACGTATCAACTTGTTTGCTTGGCTATAGTTGAGGCTAGTGTCTATGGGACAATGCAGCGCCTTCATGGCCACTGGCTGAAACGGAGCCAACGCCTCCAGGTACGGAAAGTCTGGCTCTATAAGTAGGAAAACAATGGAATTGATGTACTTTCAAATTTGCTGATTGATCCCCGATTTTCTTTAGAGTAGATACAAATAGTAGAAATAGAAAAACATTATATTACTGTAACTGATTGAGAAGCTTTTTCCAAGGGGATATATTTCAGTAGCAGTAAGTAGGACATTTTTAAATAGAGTCCTAGGACTTATTAATACACGATAAAGTCACATAGGGTAACACTGATCTTTTGTCCTAATGTAGGATTTTAGACATTATTTTGGCAATTAAGTGAAAGTAAAAGAAGTTCCACTCTATACAGCCTTTAATTGTATTCAAGCCTTTGGATTCTGATTTGTATTTGTAACTGTACATACAAAACACCAAATATCAGACTTATGAGACCAATATCAATCTCATAAAATCCTTTATATTCTAACCAGCTAGTGACTTATGGTTAGTATAATCATAATCAATGATAATCATAATCAATTAATTGCTCTTATCCATCCGCTACTTTTCTTTGATTAGCCTTGTTAGTTCCAATTGATTCGTATAATTTTTACCTATCAGATCTTGTTAGTCTTTACGAAGAAGGGATTGAATCTAAAGAGTTTTTATGAGGCAGTCAGTCTCGTCAGAGAAAGGCTAAGATAATATGATTAATTTTAATATGAAGAATAATTGAGGCTTTAGCTGCTGAAGGGACCTAACTCGTGATGCACCCTTATAGATGAGATTTGCAATTTCGCTTCTTAATGTCTTATAGTATGATTTTTCTGACTTGGAAAGGTGTATTTCAGTTTGTTTGGTTGGTATGACTCTGAAAGCCAGCTGGTGTCACTAGGCCCTTTTAGCATAGACCAGAGTGCCAACACCCAGCACAACATAACCTAAACAAGGTCTTTAGTGTAAAACTTTAGGACGGGCCCTTTGAAAGCAGAAGCACTATTTTTCTTCCTCGTGTCTTCTATTATAATCTTTGATAATTTGGCATGGTTTGTTTGGTTGGTATGACTCTTTAGATCAGCTGTCACCCAGCCCTTTGAGCATAGACGACTGCCAACGCAGACAGCTAAACATAACCTCTAAACTTTAACAGCGATAGGCCCATCTAGCAGCTACAGCCTCGACTGTAAATGTTCCTGACCAGTAAATATGATGGTGTGATGGGGGTTAGATGCCCACATCTCCACAAAGTGAACAGCGTCTCCGAACCTTAGGCTGGGATGGCCACAGAATACAACACATGGCTGGAACATAACAAAACATCAATTGTAAATTTAACCACTTTACAATTGTAGAGGCAAAGCAGCTCGATTTTCAAGCTGAGCCTAGTGACCAAGCACAAAGTCAAAAAAATTGAGCCGAGCTGATTAGCAATTATTATGACCTACTTATGGGATAGGAAAACAATATAACATCGCAGAATTTAATTCATTAGGCAAGCAAGTTTCTTTCAAACCTTTATTCTCAGCTTGTGGGCATTGCAGGGAAAATCTATGCATACTGTTAGAAAGACATTTGCCCGCAGACGTGCAGAATACCTTTATAAATTAAAATAGGCTCAAAGATAAGCACAAAAAATAACAACTTATAACAATAATATAGACGGAAAATCAAAACAAATGGAAGAAATTCCAATAACATGTTTTATTTGCAGCGTGGGGTGAAAATAGAGAAGTCTGTATATTACACATTTTTGGTCGAGTTTTCGATCACTGGACAACCTTTAGCAATAAATAGTTAATAACTATCATGGCCCATAGAATACCATCACTACACATCTTCTTTTTTAACTACAAAGGAATTCTCACTAAACGTTTTTCAAAGTATTTATTGTAGGGGGTAAGCCCTGTAAATATTTTGACTATTAAAAATACAAAATACCTGACGGAAGTCGGTACTGAATCCCTCGTCATAGATGTGTTTGAAGTGCTTTAGTCTGCCGGACTTGATAAGCTGGGCGTGAGGGAACGGCTCCTCCGGCAGGTACACCTTGTTCTGCTTGGCTTGCGACAACCTGTCAGAGATCTTGGTTGAGTTAAATACCACATACAATATGTTCATCTTCTTGTTAATAATACGATGATTATTTCAACCAATCATTAGTCAAAATAGCAGGTCTTGTTCATTCATCCTTGTCAAAAGTATTGTAAATTATTATTTTTTTTTTTAAGGGTACCAAGATGGAAAGGTTAGATTTTGAGAAAAACTCTGTGCAGCTAATCCATTGCTTGATTAAAGAATGTTTACAGTTATAGAGTTTTTAACTAGTTTAGCTAGAACAAAAAAAAAGAAATACAGTTTTTTTATTTTTCCAGGCAAAGTTAGGACCACATGGACCTTTCTTGCACTTAACCTTAAATTAGTTTAGAAGTCAGAGGTTCAGAAACCATTGAACACTGTAGTGTGGTAAAAGGGTATAATTTGTAAAGAGAATGCCGAAAAGATTGATGAATTGAATAGCTTAAGTTGCCTCCGACAATTCTTTCAACTAGACTCACCACTCAGCCAGAATGTTGGAGTAGGCGATGGAAGTGTCTGCTACAGGAGAGATGAAGAACATCGGGGTATTGGCCAGATTGACATTATCCAGATGAGTGGATAGACATTCAAACAGATCGTAGACAGTGCCGGACACATAGCAGGGGATCAGCACACTGCCGTTGTTGCGAATAGTGGACGCTGAAACAATAAGAAAGTGGTATAGTAACAGGGGATGAGCACACGTTTGTTTAAGAATTGTATTTAAGAATTAGGCTTAACAATAATTGTTAAGAGGTACACATACCTACAGTCATACAGAGTTCGCCCAGCATGCTGTCAGGGTTGGCTATGGGAGTCTGTGTGAGAGCCGTCAATATCAGAGTGTTGCTTTGTTTAAGTGAGGCTTCAATAATAGTAAATAAATGTTAAGAGGTACTGACCTACAGTCATACAAAGTTCGCCCAGCATGCTGTCAGGGTTGGCTATGGGAGTCTGCGTGAGAGCCGTCAAAATCAGAGCGTTACTGTGCTTGAGTGAGGCTTGGTCCATTGGTCTAAAACCAAAAAGAAGACAATGACTACAGATCAACAAAACAGTTACTTGCAACGTTATTGCAAAACACTGAACCCCATTACTGTACTGTGCATAACAAATATAAATTTAAATTGTACCAATCAGGTAATACTATTATTATTAGTCACAAGTGGCTCAACATCTGAATCTGTCAGCACAATTTGTATGGGTTTAAATTATTATATTTTTCTTGAAATAGCCCAAGCGCCGCATTAATGCAACATTTCAGTTTTGTTTTTGTCTTTAGGTGAAAGTAAGTAAAAAAAAACAGATTTTTCAAAAACAGTTTATAATTGAACAAATATAAAAGCTAGGCCTACATAGGATAATGAGGTTTTGCTACAATGGTAAATTGTCATAAAATAAAATGAATTATAGTGTTCAAAGCTTATAATGAAACAAATCAAAAATATACGTAGGCTATTAACGTTTTGTAACAATAGTTAATTGTCTAATTATTGTATCATATGACGTCACCAATCATCATACCCACAGGCCAAGCGACACAGATGTGCAACAGACATCCTTGTAGACCACTGCAGAGAATTCAGGGCCTTCAAATAGACCGTTACAAAGATATAAGTACTTCAATAACATTGGAACACCTACACAAATATGCGACGGCAGTCTATGGGTAGAAACCGGCCTTCGCAGGTCCATATGAATGAAATTTTTGTACTATTGCGTTAGCAAACATGTTAAAACTATTAGTAGGCCTAGTCAACATGAAAAGACTTCAAAAACACCATATTAAAAAATGATACTCCTCGAACAAGAAATTTAATTCAAACCCTTCTTACAAATATACGTATAAAATCGTATCTCATTTAAATTTCCTTATGAAACAAAAATGTGCACTACCTGGGATGAGTAGTGAGAGTAGAAGAGCCACTGACATAAGTGATCTTCTCATGATCAGAGGAGATCACCCAGTTACTGCTGCCCAGACAGTAGCCAGAACTGACCGGTGTGACTCGCAGTGATCCGTACACATCCTGGCAACAGACAAAACTACAACATTAGACGACACAATCTCAAAGCAAAACAATACATACTTTGTTATTATACCGACCTCACTGATAAATCCACTTCCAAATAAGATTTAATTAGTTTAAATAATAAAATATTTCTAACCTAACCTAACCTAGGGGTGGTTAGGTTAGGTTAGGTTATAATTATTAGGTGTGGTCGGTATAATACCATAGTACCAAACAATATAAACAAGTCCTCTAACACTACTTTACAGATGAACTTGTTAGTCGAGTAAATATAGGCACTTGAGATAGAACAAATTCCAACAAATGGTTTTTCGACGGTTTTTAGTAGTAATAGGTGTAGAAAGTACCAGGAAAAAAGTCTACCAAAATCGGACAACCGGAAGTCGGGTTTTTCCAAGATGGCCGCCGTGAGGCCCTCAAATCGACAATATGACTGCAAATTCATCGATTCATAGTTCCAGGATTGGCCGATTTCCACGAAAATTGGCAAACACATGTAGAACTTTATTTCCAACCTTAAATATGAAAACTAGGCAGACAAAGTAACCCAAAGATGAATTTTCAGGGTATTATGTGCTTAACAAATAAGTTTTTTTACCTCAAATATATGTTTTTCTAATATTTTGAACAAAGTTTGTTATAATTTCAAATTTATTTTTTCACCATTAGATTCAACACAAAAAACCTAACAATTTAGTATATAAAATCGTTGTTCTGCTTCAATTTGTTACAGAGATATTGAACGTAATAACTTTAGTATGTTTTCTTGCCGAGATAGCTCAATGTTAATCTTATGGAGAATAAGCATAAATATTAATATTATTTTTAATTAAACCTATATAGATAAGACTTTTTGTTCTTCTTCATATTACTGTATCTGTTTTAATATTTTTTTACTAAAAATTCCTTTTTTAGCAGTTACCATTGCAGCAAACCTACGTATTCAGTTCCTCAGTTTTAATCATAAAGAGAATAAGCAAAAATCAATTTTTTTATTAGTCCGAGAATTATAGAATATTACCTTAAAAAATTGCAAGAAAACGTTTTATGGTTTTATGTTATAGTGTTGGGTATGCAGAGTAACATAGTAAAAATTGCCAAAAATCGGTCTACTGGAAAACCCCTAGAATCAAGATTTAATATTACGGATTTTCTCAACATTGGAAAAATTAAAACAAAATCCACATGCATTTTCATTGATATTAACTTCAGACTACCACTGATATTTATTGGGTGGTCATTTCTTCGTTTCGATAGGGAATGTGTTTTCGGCCGTCATTTTGGATCCCTCTATTGGATATAAATATATTTTTTTTATGTAATGACAGTGTCATTTCAATAGGGAACGTGTTTTTGGCCGTCATCTTGGATCGGCCATAACGGATATAAATAATTTTTTTAATGTAATGACAATGTTGTGACACATTATTTTAAACTAGATTTTCACGCCCATTCCATTGCCAAAATGAGTTTTTAAATATTTTTTCTCGTTTTAAAGATATCTTCAAACGAAAATTCTCCTACATACATTTCTTAAGAACGTTTCGTATTTTGAACATTTTTAAGATTATTTTTTCTTATGTCTCCAGTAGGCCTACATATTAGAGCTTGCAGTTCGTTCTAGCCTTAAACATTTAGTGATGTAAGGGCTTTTATTTGAGCTATTGATCATTAAAATCTGACGAGTTAGAGACTAGTTTCCAACCCTAACAAAATATTAAATTTCATTTTTTAGAAATAAATTTTTATTAAAATATTTATATCTCGGGTTCTTAATATGCCACCAAGTTCTTTCTGGTTTCATATTACTCAGTAAATGTTTGGGTTATTTTTTTTAATCACCAAATAAAATGTGACAGATTTAATATGGGTCTGTCTTATTTAACAATAATTAATTTTTTTTCGAGATTTGTCTTTAGTTTAAGACATATACAACCAAATCGAAAAATAACTCCCAATACTCTTTATAATCTTAAAAGATTCATCAAAGTATTGACTTTTACTGTAGTTATGGATTTTTTATTGGGAGTTATTAGAATTGGGGATATATGTAGCCTACTAAACTAAAGACAGATTTCAAATGCAAATAATCTAATATTAAATTAAGGTGCATGACTCATTTTTTATTAGTTAGTCTGATATTATTTAGTGACTAATAAAATAAAAAACCTAATTCTCTGCTGAGTAATTTGAGACCAGAAGGAACTTGGTGACGTATTAAGAACCCGAGATATAAATCATTTAATAAAAACTGATTTATAAAAAAGTTAAATTTAATATTTTGTTGGGATTGGTAGCTCGTCTCCAACTCGTCCAATTTTAATGATCAATAGCTCAAATGAAAGCCCTTATATCATTAATTATTTAAGAATGAACTACTAACTGAAGATAAGGAAAATAATCGTAAAAACTTTTCAAAGTACAAACTGTTTAAAACAAAAAATGTATTTAAAAACGGATTTCGGCAATGGAATATGCGTGAAAATCTAGTATATATAGTAATAATGTGTCACAATACTGTCGTTACAGCAACAAAAAATTATATCCAATAAGGTGGATCTAAAATGGCGGCCAAAATACGTTTCCCATCGAAATGAAGTACTGAACACCCAATAAATATCGATGTTGGTCCCAATTCAATATTATTTAGAAAATTGTGCTTAGGAAATGCTTATGGTATCTTTGTTTTCAAAATGTGTCCAATGTTGGGAAAATCCGACTCTGCACACCCAAAACTACAACATAAAACCATAAAACGTTTTCTTGCAATTTTTTAAGGTAATATTCTATAATTCTCGTACTAATAAAAAAATTGATTTTTGCTTATTTTCTTTATGATTAAAACTGAGGAACTGAATACGTAGGTTTGCTGCAATGGTAACTGCCAAAAAAGGAATTTTTAGTAAAAAATATTAAAACAGATAATGTGAAGCAGAACAAAAAGTCTTATCTATATAGGTTTAATTAAAAATAATATTAATATTTATGCTTATTCTCCATAAGATTAACATTGAGCTATCTCGGCAAGAAAACATACTAAAGTTATTAATTTCAATATCTCTGTAACAAATTTGAAGCAGAACAAAGATTCTATATACTAAATTGTTAGGTTTTTTGTGTTGAATCTAATGGTGAAAAAATAAATTTGAAATTATAACAAACTTTGTACAAAATATTAGAAAAACATATATTTGAGGTAAAAAGTCTTATTTTTAAAGCACAAAATACCCTGAAACTTCATCTTTGGGATACTTTGTCTGCCTAGTTTTCATATTTAAGGTTGGAAATATAGTTCTACATGTGTTTACCAATTTTCGAGGAAATCGGCCAATCCTGGAACTATGAATCGACGAATTTGCAGTCATCTTGTCGATTTGAGGGCCTCATGGCGGCCATCTTGGAAAAACCCGACTTCCGGTTGTCCGATTTTGGTAGACTTTTTTCCTGGTACTTTCTACACCTATTACTACCAAAAACCGTCGAAAAACCATTTGTTGGAATTTGTTCTATCTTAGAGGCTTTTTTGGGCTAAATCGACTCGTCTATGTATTGTTTTTTTGTTGTAGGCCCTAATCTACAATGAAAATATTTATCAAGTAGGCCTAATCAATTAAACATGTAAAAAATAATGGTGACCCTATAACTCATTTAACACTAATGAGTGTACTGAGCCAATCTACTTACCATTTTCTGATCATAGCCCAGGACTTGAATACGAGCTAAGCTCCGTTGCACCTGTACGAGGCTATACAGTTGCTGCCAGTTACGAGGTTTGTTGCTAGCCTCGCACAAGGGGGGTGGCATTAAATGGAGAAAGTCTTTCCAGTGGCTCGCTAGAGATGCTTTCGGGCTCTGCTCTATGTACTGGACCAGCTCTTCTAGATATAGTCTAGAACAGGAGGGGAAAATAGAAAAGATTTACATGTACACTATGCAATTTGTGGAAATGAGTTAAGATTCATTACTAAATTACGCAACTAAATTACCATGGAAGATAAATAGTTACGACTGAACCTTTTCACATAGAAATGTACTGTTTGTTGTAATGTCATCATTGGTTGGCAGTTGGCACAGTCTAAATTTTCAGGCTGATCTAGATTTTATCCAAGAGAATTTTTTTATTGCACTTGAGTTTGGAAGATTGATTTCATCACCGGTACATGAGTAGTACTCAGAACTGATCTTTAGTATGGAAGTAAGAAAATTTAAATGTTCATACTTTCTAGTGGATATTGAATAGCAAAGTGGACGTAAAATGATTGGAGGGTAGTTTGAAGAGCAATAGAATTTTTATGAAGTGGTAGTGAATTAACGGAAACAACCTTTTCTACACAATTACCGAATTAACGTTTACCTTTTTTACAAAAAAGTAAACGGAAAAATCATATTTTGAAAACATATCTTTTCTGTGTGCTCAATGGTTTAGCTTGGTAGACAACAAAGTAGCCTATATTCTGTTAAACCAAATATCTACTGACCTGCCTATCTGCAAAGTAGGTTCAGTGCAGTAGACGATCCCATCAAACCCAGTTCCCTCTGTGATGAAGGGCAAAGCCAACATTGACATGTAGTTGGAGATGAGGATGACATCTATTTGGGAATAGTCAACTACTTTGGCCAAGGGTGGACAAAACTCTGGTGCAGAGTCAACAAATACTCGGCCGTTGCACTCCTTCAGCTCCTGGGAAAGTCATAAAGATCAATGAACATTAAAAGTTGAGTAAAACCTCCTACTGCCTCCTCAATCAAAGTAACCTGTTGGATCTTGGTACTCGGGAGAACAGAACTGTAGCTCAAAAGATGGATAGATGCAATGAATCCAAAACTCCAGCCAGTAATTTTGTCAGTTCAATGACATGGTCATCGCAAGAGATTCAAAATACTAAAGGGCCTAATCACTAGATATTTTCAAATATTTTACTATACTAACCCCCTCCAAATCTGGGTCAGCATTCTCACGAGGCATCCATGTAGGCAGGTTGTTGAGTCTGGCACTGTGGACGAGAGGCAGGGGGAGGAAGTTGAGAGCTGTGTGAGCAGACAAGCCGCAGTCTAGCATCAGAGTGATGCCTTTGAATGTCAAAACGTAACATGGCTTGTTGGGATGACTACTTAGGCAATACTGCAACAAGAAACAATGGTAAAATGGTAAAACAATACAGAGTTATTTAATGAGGTAAGATTTTGAAGTTGATGGATAAAATGTGTGGCTGGCTTGCATTCACCTTTTCAATTTGTTCAAATCCACGACTCATCAGATAGGCCACATAGACATGATGCATCGCATCTTTTACACACACACACAAACACATACCCATCCTAAACAATATCGTTTAGGTGTTCAGAGTTCTAAATAAATGTACAGGATAGATAAACAGAGCATACAAAATATTGGTAATTAGCCTACAAAATTTGAATAAACAAGGTAGAACGGATGACATAGTTTGGTATAGGCAGGATTGCCACCCGTCCCGATTCTGCCGGGACAGTCCCGATTTCGGTTCCTTATGCCCACATTTTTAATCCTATGTTAATCCGGGGGGAGGGGGCCATGTCCCGAATTTCCCCTAACCTAAGGTGGCAACCCTGGGTATAGGGGCCTTCTTACTTTATATTAAGATTAAGTTAAGGTTGTAAAGTTCTGTATTTAAGCCAATTAGTTTAAGCTTTTGATAAATTATATAATGGCCCATGTATGTACCATCAAAAAGCTAACAACCATTTGATTGTTTAATAGAAAGACTTAAATGTTAGTGCACTAAGATAACCTGTTCAAAACATCTTAAAATGAATATGCCTCTAACATTAAATCAGTAAATAGTTACCAATCTCATAGCTGAAATTGTTATTCAAGATAATGTCCGTTTAAAGATTATATTATAGCAAGTCAATTACTAGCACTTAAAATACATTTTTAACGTTTAAAACACCAATCACCAAAACACCTTTAGGCCGGCAATATAAAAAACATAACATAACCCTAAATTATAGAGTTTGTTTTGTTATCCATTAGGGATTTGACGTTAACTCTTCTTCTTCTCGTTTTTCTTTTCATGTTGGCTTACTAAAAGCTGGCTTGGTTAAACTACCATATAACCACACTATTTAACCATAGACATTTAACTTTTCTTTTGAAGTATCGTATTGTTTACAACTAAATGCAAAAGTTCAAACAGATTACTAGCATTGATAATAATATATCTCATCGTGAGATGTCATTATCAATGACTCCTTGTAACAACAATATATCAGGCCTATATACTTACATAATCAATGCATCAAATCAAGTCTGCTAAAACCACTGAGCTACAACGCTACCTAAGCAAACTACAAAGATAGGAAGAAGAAAAAACTATTCATTTCATTTACTTACACTCACACAACAAAACAAAAGAGAACTGTCAAACTAACCTTAAAAATGTCAAACCATAACTGTTTTGACTTTTTATATTAATTTTTGTGAGTTAAACAAATTATTAGATAATAATTATTGTTTGCAAAGGTGACTGATATTAGCATAGTCATTGTATTTCCGTTCACAACAAGCCCAGTTTGTTAATATGTTTAAAAATCTAAAATTTAAGAGGTTACTAAAATATCTCTTTTTGTTGATTATTATAATTGTCCTTATAATATCCCTCTCTTCATACAGGAAACCCAAGGCATTTTCTTTTGATTCATTTAATAATATTACTGGAGTCCCGTATAAAATAATTCCGAACACTGTGCATTATGTTTTGTTTGGATCGACATCATTAAACTTCATATCTTTCTTATCAATCATTTCTGTTATTAAGGTAAGTAGAAATAGAGTAAAAGTACACCTTTTAGTTAAACTATACATTTCGCTTAAGTTTAAAACATTATATCATCAGTGCCAACTACAGGTTTGTCTATTTTATTTGGTAATTTGTTTACTAATAGGTAAAAATATTTTGTATCCTCCCTTTAGATAGATAGATTTCAGGTGTGTTCCTAGTACTTATTTTACAATACTCAAACAACAGTGAAATCAGCTGATTAGCAAGCAGAAGTGGTCCATCCCCGCTCTAGAGCGGCAATGAGCTATTTTGCGTACTATTTTCTGGTATTGCAATGTGATAATTTCCATGCAGTGGTAGGAAAATAAATATAAATATGTCTAACATAACACTTTATACATTGTTTATATTTACAGTACTAAAATATATACTGTACTATGAAAGGTGTTAGTGGTTATCGATTTCAATTGGACACTCCAATCATAGTCAGACCCAATAGACGACTGATTTGAATAATGGTTCAGGTTGTTTTTTCTCTTGTAAATTCGGGTCTTTTTGGGAAAATCATAAACATAATATTCAAAAAGAACAACAATTTAATTGGTAAATTGTTTTTAGGTGCAACAAAGCAATGTGTGGATTCACTGTGATTGTACAGAGTTGTCAGGTCACTACTGGAACTTAGTAGAGTCTCTATCAAACCTGCTACAAGTCCCCGTCAAAGTTAGCTTCATTCGCCGTCCCACTCATGTGTACGGTCAGCCGCTCAGCTCCGTCTACCACTCATCAGACATTGCCAGGATCCAGGTGTTAATGGAGAACGGAGGAGTCTACTTAGACACTGACATGGTCTTGTTGAAGCCTCTCGACCAATATTTACACTATGAAATGGTAGTAGGATGGCCTTTGGATGAATACTTTGGAAACCAGGTGTGTAAATATACTACCACCTAGGCAGTTGTATATGTACTTATTTTGGAGGTATGTAGCCATTTGCATCATTAGACATGGCTGCAAGCCGCTTGTTGGTGTCGGAACAAGGACAGCAGTGTGCGGGCGTGTATATATGTGTGTGTAGGCCTACTCTTATTGGGAAGCACGTCAGTAATCTTTGGGGGCTTTGGGGGAAGGAGTGTGGAAGAGCAGAGCAGGTGTCTACCTGTTGTCCAGTTGCCAATTTATTAATGTCATATCAGCAACCAATGACTCAGTCCTTCAACTTTCAAACCATTCCAAAATTCTTTTTTCATCTCCAAATTTTTTTAGTCTCAAAGAATAGTATGATTCTTCTACGCACAGGAGTAAATTTCTCCTTTGTGGGTGATAATTTTGCATTGTTGAATTTATAAAGATTGTTTTACAATATTACGATAAATTTTTATATAAACTAAATAATATTGGTTACATATGTGAACTTGATTTGATGAGCAAGAAAAGTATAAATAGAGGCAAGGAGTGATTACCAGTAGTATGGTAAAGATCTGATCAATCTGAACCAATTTACTCTTATAGTTTTGACTGCTGATTGCCTATACCTATTTGGCTACACTGATGGACAATCGATGCTGATCATTAACATAAACTAAAAAAATACCATAGTCTAACCAACACAAGCAAACTTCTCAACTCATTGTGAATTTTAAAGCTAGTTTTTTGTGTCTTTTTTATGTTGGTGTCACTGATCGCTAGTGTCGATGACATTTTCTAATATAGTAGGGTTAATTTAATGATTTTTGCTTTATATGTTTGCTTATATAGGCTAACTAGGGGACGGGTTATTGTTTATGATTAGATAATTTTATTTGGTTAAACGAGATTTTAGATAACAGAAATAACAAGAAACAAATTGTAAACAAAACACGACGCCTACAGTGCTCCGTAGCCCTACGGAGCTAACAATAAAATTGTCTTCAGCTGATCGAAAGAAAAAAAAATTATAAAAGTAAGCTCTAATCTGCTTTATCAGAGCAAAGAAACTTTCGAGTATAATTATTTTTATTTTTTTCTGTTTGTTTTAAGACATATATGAGTGAAAATTTAAAAACGTACGTTTTCAGGAAAAGCACTTTGCAAATTCTTTTCCCCTTTTTTCAAAACTTTTATTATTATTTTTATTTCATTAACATTTGAAGTTTCATAGAATGTCCATGGTAACGCAATATCTATGGTAGTTTCTTTTTAAAAGAGCGTCTTTAGTGGAAAAACACAAAATCCTGTCACGACCATAACGGACGTTTAAATGAATATTAAAAATGGTTATATTAAAAAAAAAAGCGGTACGGTCGTGAATTGTCTGGAATAATCTAAATCTTTCAAAACAATCCTTCAATTATCCTGTTAGTTATAATAAAAATTTGTGTTTCAATTGAACTAAACTGTTCAATTTACAATTATATTAAAGTTATTGTCACGACCAAACACACTATAATCCATAAGGCTGGATTGGTCGTGAAAAAACCTGCGATGGTCGTGAAACTTTGGTCGGGAAATTACGTGTTATTTGGCTCTGTTCTGGCGGTAGCCCTGCACCTCATGTTCGAGGATACAAAGTGGACTTCTAGGTTAATCTAGCAATTGAAAAATCTTATAAACAAAAAATAACACCATTTCTACTTCATCGAATGACTACGTACGGTCATGGACACACCAAAATTACAAAAAATACAATCTTTCCTTTATTAATCATGTAATTCCTCCTTTCAACTTGAAACGACCGGCACTACAATCCTGACATACACCCCGAACTAGTCTCTAAAACCAACTGACTCCATCGACGCTAGGCTTGCCACTGTCGTGCTCCAAAGTTGAAAATTTTTCCCAAATGGTCGTGACGCCAAATCGAGGGACAGACATATTTTGTCATGGTAGTCAGTTTGTAATGACAATAAAATTATAATATGCTCCTTTTTTCTAAGTTTAATAACCATTGATGACATAAAAATATGGCTTTATATATTTCGGCATGATTAATAGTCTAAAAACAGCGTGAAAGTTGGAAAATGTACCCTAGGGACACGTCATGGTCGTGAATTTCGAGACTTTAAAAATACGAAAAAAATACCTAGAACCTATTTAAAACCAAATAAATGTGTGTAACATGTTGCCCCCGTCCCAAAAAATATTAAAACACATAATAATAAACTACAAATCCAGTATCTACGAAGTAAAAGGCCAGGGACATGAAAACGTACGTTTTTAAATTTTCACTCATATCTGTACTGAGTAAAACTTTGATTGTTGTAAAAAGACCCTTGGCAATTTCAAAATATCTTGTTAGTTGATAAAAATGTAAACCCAGCAAGTCAGAATGCTTTTTGATTTCAGATTATGATTGGTCACCCCAAAGCTAGGTTCTTAAAGAAATATCTGGAAAGTTACAAACGCTATTTGCCACGAGAATGGTACTATAATGGAGGCCAAATGCCAACGGAGCAGATACTCATGAAGGAACCACATCTGGTGCATAGAGTTCCAGTTCTGTTTGGCGTTCACAACTTGATAGATAAGTTGTACGGAGCAAACCCTTGGAATGCTTGGAGACAATACTTTGCGATACATCTTCTAAGCAGACATCACGTTGACACAGAGAGGCTGAACGAAACCACAATTTTACAATACGACAAACCTTTTGGTGAAGTAGCACGATGGATTTTATATCAGTTAAAGCCAGTATTAAACACTTCTAAAGGAAGTTGGGATGAAGATTCAAGCTTATGAAGCGAAGAAAAAACACAAATTTAAACTCAGCAAGTAATTTCTAGATGCAGAATTGCAGATACAGAGAAGGAACCAGGACCCTTATGGTATGTTTTTTATCTGTCCACAGGTAAATAAATAGCCGGGGGTTGAGCCTTGCTCGTTTGTGGTTGATTGGGTTTAATAGTTAAAATAATACCATGATCAGACACATAATATAATTTAGAAAAATAATTTTATAAGAAACCAAAAACATCTAATTGCTGAGACATTTAACGATTGTGTAATGTCTGTCTAATTCCACCCGTTTCATAGATTATAGCATTTAGATTATTTGCAGTACCGTAAGAAATTGAATTGAGAAAATTGACATTTCATTTTAATATTAACCACTGACACCCCTGCTCAAGATGATCGGTCTGTTGTTCATCATTTTGCACGGCCATAAGATCTGAAATTATTTCTCTCCTTTTATTCTTCGATGCACGACTTGGCCGAAGTTTTGAGACATTTGGTGGGATGTATGAGCTGGTTGGAACTGGATTGGTTGTAGACAAAGAGGTAAAATTTGTTTCCTGTCGATCGATTGTAGCTTCTCTCCCTTTCAAATTACTTGTATTCGCTTCCGAGGTCTTCCACGTTCATTTAATACATTTTTGTACCCATTTTTGTATACAGTTTCGACCCCCCTCCTCCAGGCCCATATATGTCCAGGACACCCAAGGTATATGTGTTTGTTTATTTTATTTGTTTATTAGCATGTTATATAGGTAATACTATTGTACATTCTAAACTAAATCTATAATTAGTAAAAACTGTTATATCCTAAGCATTTATCGGTCTGACTAGTTATTTTATTTCTGTTGGCAGCGCTATGCAAAACGGATAGAAAAGTGTAATTTTTTTCTGGTACTATACGGAGGCCATATATTTTACAGCCCGATGCGGCGCTTATGTTAGGTTGGGTTATCATAAATATGTTTGTAGGAATTTCTTAGTTTTGTTATGAATCTAACGATTCCAGATGAGTCATACTTTCTATTTATGAAAGCCCAACCTAACATAATCACTGCAGCGATACAAGAGTGGCCTCGATATATTACCAAAGTACCGTAATTTTTCTCTATCATGATTGCTTGTAAATAATTTTAGTATCTCTGCACACATGTATATAGTTTTAGTATAATGTTATGACAACATTTTTGTGCTACATTGTGTATACTTTTACCACCAAGTAGGCCTACCTGAAAAGTATTATTAAACCGGGTTTATATTTTTGTACATCTTTTATCCCGTTTATCTCTTTTCCTCCCGTCAATTGTCCTATTCGTTGTATAAAATGGTATAGCAAATATTGTATTTGTATAAAATAAACAAGAGTCAGCACAATGACATTGAAATGAGTGACATAAATCCCCAGCTATAGCTTTTCTGAGGAACTAGAATTTGAGTGGGTCCTTATGAACAATAAAACATTATTAGAACAATGTAATAAAAGTTTTATTTTGTACAGTTATATTATACAATAACACAGACAGAATTCCTCATGACAACAAAAAAAAATAAAAATTCCATTCTCTATACATATAGGTCATAAATACATATGAAAATTGCTTAAAGCTTAACTGAATAAATCTTATGCGTAGCTCTAAAATAATTCAAAATATGAGTATATAATGTTAGTGAGAGCACAGAAAACGTACTACTATAACACAGAATGCTTTTTACCATGCGGTTGGCATTCTGGGTTATAGTAGTACGTTTTCTGTGGTGAGAGGTAGAAAAACAAATAAATCGGTCAGTCAATGGTCTCACAATATTTACAATACAACATACTAAAGAGATCATGATAGAATAGTTAAAATGAAAATATAACTGGTTATCCTGGAACCAAACAGGATTATTGCTAATAGTTGAAACAAATTTCTTTACAAAATTAAATAGCCTTCTTATGTAACCAATGCTGTATTTAGGGTACGTGCAGGTCTAGGCTAAAATACAGTAACCCGCCACTACATCACCCACTATTGCGGTGAAACGTGAACATCTCCCGCGATCACAGAAATATTATCATCGTCACCCGCTATTGCAGTGAAACTGTGAAAATCATTTGATCACGAAAAAGTAATCAACGCTACCTGTGATTGCGGGGAAATCAAGAACATCTCCCATAACCTCGGGGACATCATCAGATGTTATCCTCAACCGGAGAAAATCTGTTAATTTTAAATATAAAGTTCAATTTTTTATAGATAAAATATTTACATTTTTTTATAGTTATGGCTCCCTTTTGCTTAGGACCCAAGTCCACAGCCTATTGGTACTGTGTGTAAACAAGACAATGAATGAAAGAATGACAAAATAAATATATATAATGTGTATATACAATTTTTAGGATCACTGATACAGCAAACTATAAATTAAAACTAAATAGGAATAAAAATACCAACTACAGACTTTTTCATCTTATAGGACTACTCGAAGTAGTAAAAGTCAACTACTATGATGTTAATCCCTGTAATAAGTTAAATACCCCGGTTGCAGCAAACCTGCCTAGGTACTAAGCAAATTTCCATTTACCAGACTGGATTTTCACACAAACCATTTCCTTAAAAATGTCACATTATTCCTATTTAAATAACATAAAAATTGTTATTAGTAGGTTTGCTGCTACAGGGAAAAAAACAAGGTGTTTTTTTTTATGTTGGTAGCTTAGTATGAAATAAACAAATATATATGAATTTGACCAAACTGTGTTTTTAGCCTCTGGGGGCCTCAAAACGGAAAAATAAATCGGCCCACGGCCAATGTCTTACCACGAGACCTACGGTAAATGGATTATTTATTCCCTGTATGGGAAATTCACTTAATTGAACAAATTTTGTGTCCAATTAAAAAAATTACTAACATTATAGAGATGTTTGGTAAACAATATTGTACCGCCAAATACACAAAATTATACCCTAAATAAATCCTGGGATAGCTTCTGTCATAACTCAACAATATGATACTAGGCTACTCAGCAAGAACAAAAAAATTACTAAATTCTTATTCTTGTTTGTAAACCCAAATATTTATAATAAAAATAACCTCATGTCAAATGCTTGTATTATAAGGTATCATGAGTTTTAAACACAACAACGGGTAACTATCCGTACTTGAGGTAAATTTCCTGATTAAAAATTTATAAACACTCAAGTTATTAATATTGTTGAATTCTAAAATTTAACACAGATTGAAGGAAACAGGCTAATGTTAAAGGGTTGATTTTGTCTTCATGATAATATCAAACCTAGCACGTCACTGGTGGATTTTAGGTTGTATCGTATTAAATTAAAAAAAAAACCTTAGGCCTATCATCTTTTATGGAAGCGACCCTTAATCTTATTCCATGATCTTTGCATTGTGTCATCGTTTATTATTCTTGAGTGTGAATGTGATAAGTGAAATACCAGTAGGCCAATTTATCCCTAGAGAGCTAACTACCTAGAGTGCTAGGTAATAGGACAATTAATAAAAAAATAATAAATATTTATCCTACTCTGTGAAATCTTTTTTTATATTACCTATCAAAAATCTTTACACTTAACTTAATTAAGCCGATTGAATTCCATTTACAACCATGACATGAATAAATATGTATAAAATCCTGTTTCATAAATTCATCAATTTGCCTACAATATAAAAATACAATTTTAAGAATAAATTACTACTTGTAAACTTTATGCATAATCAAACTGTTAACATACCTAGACTATTCAGTTTTCAACGTCTGATGTTTCACTGGTACAATCTAACAAAAGTTCTGGTGAGTTCCGCTTTTGTACATTTGTTTCTTCCTGCTCTTCATTACTATCCTCTTCAATACCGTTCGTTTGAACATTACAAACCTCTTGATCTTGTGCGGACTTCTTTTTAATATCATTTATCCTGTGCTGAGACAAAACCTGTTGAATCTTAGCTTGAACCGCTAATGCTGTGCACAACGACATCTTCTTCAGTTGTAACGCCACACTTTTACCGAACAGTTCAAACTCATCCTCAGACGTTGTGAGAAGTTCAGTAATATCCTTGAGATATTTCATCGCATCATTCATTTGTGCAGTGATGTCAACCTCCTTGTCCTGCTTGCGTTTTTTAGTGGGTGGTTCAGACAATACGCTGTTTGCTGCTTCCTCCGCCATCGATATGACAGAGTTTTGCTGCACGAAAAGTGGCATCTCTCCGTCCGGTGGCTCAGGATACGAATGGTTTGTTTCGTCCAATGACGGACACTGTTGGTAGTAAAACTCACTCTGCGTAGTTTGTGCTGGCAGGTTGTGAAATTTTGTCTGGAACACAAAAGAGTCCAATAGAGGTGATGCTCTGATTATAATATTATTTGCTATCATGGCTGACAAAATAAAAAATAATTTTGACTAGGCCTAAGTAACACAGGATAAGATTTAACACACTACATAAGAGCAGGAACACAATGGTGTGGTATTACGGCCCATCTCATTTTTCCAAAGGAACTTTGTAGGGGTTTAAAAATATGTCAATACAAATTTCAAACAAAATATTAATGGTTTGTATTGGGTTAGGCCTAATACTTTTATTTGTACTAGAAAAGTTTTGTCTTTAAGCTATTTTTTAATTCCAGTACAGGTAGTCGTTGCTATTCCCAATAGATGCGTTTAAAGAATTGCCCTCCAAGCCAAAATGCAGAATCAAAAACCTATTCATAGACTGTTGCTGTTTGTAACATTTTATTTTACAGGAACTCTGCATCCCAAAATAATCTTCACCTCATAATATGTCGCCAGAAGTGACCACTGGTGCAAAGGATTGCTAAATTTCACACAGCTACGTGTAGCCTATGTAATTTGAACAGATTGTATTTTTGGCCTCTGTGGACATTCAGGTCTAACAATGAGACCTACCGTAATAGCTATTCCCTATAAAAGAAATTTGGTTAAAGAAAGAGGGAACACAGATATGGAGTAAATTCCCTGAGATATTAATTTTATCACACCCTATCAACATTGTTTAGGTATGATATATTTTTAAATAGTTAATTGTATACTTAGGGCCTATAGTATTTTTAGATAATGACATTGAAGACAACATTCTGAAAAAATACACAAGGTTTCAAATTTCTATTGCACTAGGAGAAGATAGTTAACCGTTAAGGATTACATTTCATATACGGTAGGTGCTACACACACTTATTTCGACAATGAAGATATCTGTATTTTAACTGCATATTTTATCGCTGCCAAACCAAAACTAAACAAGATATACGTAAAAACAGTACAGGAACTGGGTGTGTGAAGAAGCGCCTTGTCGCCTAGTGTGGCCACTGGCCATAAGCTCTAGACAAGATAACATGGAGAGCGTATTTATCGACTGGGACGGTGGCATCGTCCTGTAATCCAGCTACTAGGTCACAAATTGTGAATATTTATAGGCATGCACTGTGGATGAGATACTCCCTGGTGTGGATTAATGTCCGCATTAGTGAGTACTACGACTACCCACACTGCTATCCTGATAATTAGACCAATTCGTTAATTACAAGGCAAAAATGTGGTTCGGATTCCACTATAAACTGTAGGTCCCTTAGTTGCCATTGGCTGTATGGGACTATTAATTAACATATGTGGTGTCTAAGAATGTTTAAAAATTATACCCATTTTTATCCCTGGTTTAGGTAGGCCTAACACAATTAGAACATATTTTTCAGATGGAATCCACCAGGTTTAGCATTATGAAGATCTCAAATTTGATTTTGATGGAACAACATTAGCACAGAAACAAAACTGTTGATCTGATAGAACTGTATTTCTGACGAACAATAAATAGGAACCAACTTAAAATGTTGCGAGCAACAAGTTAATGCATGGAATGGCATAAACCAAGGATAAGAATATTTTAGAATATTAATGCGAGTAGTGGACAAATGTTTTCTTACTTTCTCAGAAGCGGATGGGTTTGGTTTAGAGGACGATTTTTCAGTTGGAGTCTTGGTCTTGGAATTTTCTTCAACTGTAATATTACTGGTACTTGTAACCGCAGATGCAGATTGACTTTCTTCAGTGGGTTCTGCATTACTACTATTTACTAGTTCTAACTGTCGTGGAATGTTTTTGGAAGCTTCAGTGTCGACAGTCTCATTAGCTTCAGTGTTGGCAGATACGGAATTCACAATAACGTTAGGCCCACTATTTTGTTCATTTTGTCTATCATCATCGCTCAACTCTTGAACCTCTTCTTGTCCATTTACTATCAGGCCCACAGGTTCAATATCATCTTCAAAATTGAGTTCATCATACAAATTATCATCGTCGTCGTCATCATCATCATCAATCTCAATCAGCTCAGGTGTAGAATTTTTCCAATTGATCGGGAAAGCGTGTTTTTTCAAACTGTTTTTAAACTTATTCGCAAACATACTAGGGGTAAAATGCAGCTCACAAATCTTTTTTTTGCTTAACTCATGTGGGGTGAGAAAACGGAACTCTTCTCTGCCACTGTTTGTGATCCATTTTGAACATCTGAAGTAAAACAGAACAAATCTAAAAATTCTAAATAACTGGTTTAGTTTGTATAGCACTAAATTTATTAAATTTTAACAAACTATATCTAGGCTATTAATAACCTTCTTAATTTTTCTAAAAGGACTAAGTTAAGTAGACTGATTATGAGACGACTGTGCTGGGAATGTCCTATAAGTTACATATTTTATACTTACAAATCAGAGTTTTAAGGTACGGTACCTACGTAGAAAGATCAAAGTGTTTAGATAAGGGACATAGAGAAGGGCTGATGCTCAAACCAGTCATAGATGGGAAAGGGGCAAATTAAACTGACTTCATTAGGGAACTTATTTGTTTAGGTTTTTGACTTGATTTGTAACACAAAATCACTGGCAGTGATAAGAAGCCGTGGGATCCTCCTCTCCCAATAATCTTTTAAAAACATTATCACAGGCATTTCCATCTTAGCTTGAGCTAGGGCTTGACACGGCATCTCCCAAGGCACAGAGGCATAATCATCGCCTTCCTTTCCATGATCGTGTTTCAAAATCCTAAATATCATCATAGGTCACGGGCTAATCGTCTTCCGTGACCGTGAAAAAGTTCTGAATAGACTTTGTAAAATCATCGTCTTCCATGATCGCGTCAAAATCCTAAATATCATCATAGGTCACAAAAATATTAGGAGGCTAATCGTCTTACGTGGCCATGAAAAAGTATTATCATTGTGTAGCCTACCGTGATTGCAAATAATAAAGCCAGGACATCTTTTGCGGTCGGGTAGACAACATCGTCTACCACGATCGCAGCTAAATCCGTAGTATCTCAGTGTTGATTAGTTTGATCTAGCACTTCAATTAATTAATTAATTAATTAATTAATTAATTAATTAGTTAATTGCCAAACATGCAACACTAAGCCAATGCGGCCAAGTTGAAACAAAGGTGTAATGATTGAAACTCACGAGGGTAGGTTATCTTAAGCTCTGTCCTCTGTGTGAGTAGGAAGTTTTGCACAGTGCTCGTGCTCTTCTTGCTCGTCACTAGTATTTAGTTCAAAATTAAGATTCTAAGGCACCTAAACCTATCTTTGGCTGCACTTTACTTGACGTCCTACACTCATTCGAATGAAAATATCGATCGATATATCGATTAATCGATTGCTTCATTCGATATATCGTTTGGTTAGTTAGGTAAGGTTAACCTAACCTAACTAACCAAACGATATATCGAATGAAAATATCGAATCGAAAAAATTAATCGAATGAGTGTAGGACGTCAAGTAAAGTGCAGCCCTATCTTTCACACTTCATAAACTATGATATAAGCAGACTATCAACGTTTTAAAGTATAAATAAATAAAAAGTTTAGGCCTACTGCAAGTATAATGTTAAATTTTAAGGCTTCACCTTTCTGTATCCTTGGGGAAACCAAAAAATGATATTGCACCTCCATCAGTTGATCTATCTGAAGAACACCCATTATAACTGCAATATCTTTTATACCATTGTGACATTGCAGTACTAATTGGGACCCTATTTCTTTAAATTTATAATCTATTATTAACTAACAAAAATAATAGCCCCGTCCAAACTGAGCAGCAATCTGCATTAAATTAAATGTTCAATTATTCATGGTTTAAATTATTGTATTCCTTTGAAATTCCAAGGTCAACGTTCACGTTCACAACAAAACAACACAAACAAAAGTGTAAAAGTACAAACAAAGACAACAGCAACAGCACGGCCCAGCAAACAGCAACAGCAGCAGACAGCTGGAGCTGACAGACAGTCAGCAGACACGAGACACGACACACCGGCTTCGGCTTCGGCTGGTTGCAGGTTAGGCACACTTCAAAAGTGTAATAGTCACGTTTACCAACGGTCAAACTGCAAAGGATTTGCAATTAGTTGCCTTTGATCACCGATTGGTTATAACGCTCGCATTTTGCCTTCAAAACCAAAGGATGGTGGTTCGATCATTAGAAGGATCAATTTTAGTCCTAGTTACAATTTTGTCAAATATTACCATTACCGGTACATGATTTATATCATTCACTTCTCAACGTATATATATATATATATATATATATATATATATAACCAAACATTTCTTTTTTTGATTAAACATTTTGTTTTATTTGCATTCCAACGGCCAAAGACCATTACAAAAATTGATAATTCTTTATGGTCTACTATGAAGAAGTTTATGTTTATTGGTCGTCGGTAACTCTTACAACAAAGAAGAGCTCTTTGTTAGCAAATTGTTTTTAATGTCAACTAAATTTTGCTTTTTAGGGTGTTTACGAGCGATGTGTTTGTAATTTCCCGTTCTGATATTCAGTAATAGCAATAGCATAGATAAAATTTAGTCCATGTTTTAACTATGGTAATAGGCTAAAAAGCACCTACATTTTATAGAACAAGCAATTTTAGTGAATTTCCATACAGGGCATACACATAAGCTATCACTGCAGCTTACATGGTAAACCCCGAAGCCGATTTAATTTTTTGTTTTGATATCCCCAGAGGCCAAACAACCTCCCAATTCAATGTAGAATCGTTTTCTAAATTTGTAAAGTAAAAAATATATATAATAGCGTTGTTGCACACCAAAAATAAGGCGAAAATCTAAAAATACTGTAAATTTTAAATTCCAATGTTATTTTTACGGAGGGTAAATAAACTTATGTAGTTTGCTTGTTTAGGGATGTATGGTAAAATTTGGCAAAAATATGTCTGTTTCATACTGAGCTACAAACATTTCAATAAAAAACACAAATCGAGGATTGAGGCGACATGAATTAGAGATATTTAAGCGTCACACTCGCCACCCATAAAAACGGACGAAGCTAAGCAAAATTCGATTTGCTTTTAGACAAATATGAAAAGTGCCATAAAATGCATACATAAGTATTCAGTTTAAATAGTGCATAGGTTTGGTGGTTTGATTTAGAGAAAAATATTATTCTGCACCTAGACACCCGTTGATTTGGCTGTAACAGGTCGAAGTTAGATAACTGGAGTGATCCTTTACGATGAAATATCTTATACTTTAACATTCGTTATTGTAAGAAAATTCGGATGTACTTTGTTAAAATACAACATGAGATCGTGTTCTTTTCCAACGTAATATTTTCGTACGGAATAAGTTGTACAGTTACAGTATGTATACAATTTTGTGAGATTTTCAATTAGCATTAAAATATTTGTTTGGAGTGCAAAAACTTTTCTGCATTTGCAATCAGTCGTAATATTTGCAAAATCACGTTTTCCTGTGGACTAGATTAAATAATTTCCCGAAATTCCAAATGAAGAATATTATTTGCATGCACTTTATCAGCATAGTTATTGCTTTTGGCATGTCGTGTGGATATCATTTCTTCATTTACGGCTAGACCGTCACCATGTTGTACATTATTATGATGGTTCTGCTCGCGTGTGATACTTCTCCACGGACGTCGCAGTAGCGCCCGAGTCTGGCCGAAATGGTCAATAAGTTCTTAGGACCCTCCCCCCACCCAGCCTGGACAAAGTCCTTGTCCTTACTCTAGAAATCATCTATCTTGCTCGTATTATTGTTACTATCAGCTATTATCTACGATTAAAATACTTTCGCATCGTCGACATTGAATAAATTACATATTAATAGGGGCTAAACATGTGATTGATTGAGCAGTAAATATTTCAATTACTTCGAAAACAGATGGTAATTAACAATATAGTAGACTCTAAATCTGGGTGTTATAATTACACTGACATCCAGTGTGTACCCCTTCCATTAATATGAAATAAAAAAAGACAATTAATTATTACATTTTTTTACACATACTGGCACTGTACTAAAATACAGATTCTGCCAAAATGTCTATGGATATTGTACTCTAGTTTTCGAAGGTTTTAAAGGTTTTTCTTATTTTATATTACCTATGAATATTACAAACAATTTATTTTAAAATAGATTATTGAAAAGTATAAAAAAATCATAAAAGTATAACTGTGTCAAGTAAAAAAAATAATTTTAGAAACTAACAAATTTCGTGAATTTAAATAAAAATAAATCACGGAATAAATTATATTAATAATGTAATTGGTTTTATGGTTAAAAAATGTTTTATTGTCTCAGTAAGTGTCGTCCTTTACGGTTAAAAAAGAGCCAATTTTGTTTTTTGTACATTTAAAGAGTATAAAATATATTAGAAAATAACTGGGATCCTGACAAAATAATAATGCAAATTCCAACTTTACAAAGATTTAATAGGTAGATGATTTGTATTTAAATTTTTACCGGAGAATAACGACCATGACGTGATAGTAAGTGAAAGATAACTTTGGCACACTTAAACAAACAAAGGTACAGTACTGTTAACGATATGTCAGGTGAACAAAGATAGTGTTCCGCTCCGCAGCGTTAAAAAGTGGAACAAAACAACCGAGTCTGCCAATCATTGCGCGACGAGTGTGGGGGGGGGGGGGGTTTATGATTATTGTAAACGGCGGCAAATTCAAATAAGCTCACCAAGTATTTGGGCACCTTCTTGTCGCAAAGCTCGGCCCTCGGAGTGGTGTTGGCGTGTAGGAAGCTGTCCAACTCCTTGAACCAGAAGACGCTCGGTGTGTAAGGCTCCCGACCCAGCATCCTGGCCGTCTGTATCTTCTTGAGTTCTTGGCAATAGGTGGACCGGATGTTCTTGATCTTGTTCTTCACGTCCATCACCGTGAGACCCGGCATGTCCATGGCGTTGACCAGCCGGTCGTAGGCCTCGTCTCTGGCCGCCTTGTTCTTGTAGTTGGACGAGCTAAAGTCCCACAGACATTGGTTCTCGCGGTAATTCCTGATGAATCGTATCACCATCTCGTTGTCAAACGCGGGCAGTGACGACGACATGGCGTTCTCTACTCGACTCGCTGTGTTCGTGTCGGGCTCGTGCGAGTTCGTGCAACTTCGGCCGCCCGTACGATCAATGTTCGCTCACGCGACGCTATTGATCGCTGTGCGTGGCCTCGGCTCGGCACGTACGGGCGACACGACACGACACCTCACGTCTTGAGCAACGTGTCGACTACGGTTAATCGTTATTGTATACTGTTTAACTATTTCATTACTGTGTAAAGTTTTGGTGATTAAAACTACGAAGTAATAAATAATGTTGGCAGTAATACTACTCGAAACTGAAGTAAAATTGCACATATAGGGTTACTGGAATGTACAGTTTAAATATTCACAGAAGTAACATAATTTTTTAACTAATTTTACATCAAGTTAAAGTGCCAAGTGATGTTTTATAGTCTTTAATAGGAAACAGGCGTAGGCCTAGATGTGAAAATCGATCTACTCTTTCGTTGAATACGTGTGCAAGCAAAAACTAACTTTAATTATAAAATGGAATAACATATAAACAAACTATATTCTGCTAAGCTCATTTTTTATTTCATAAATCCATTGCAAATAGAGAGCATATTGAAATAATATTGTATCAGACGACAATTTGCGTAATATTTTCTTAATATTTATGTATAAGAAAATGTTGTAATACATTTCATTTAGGTGTGGATAAGGATAATTATTAACCCAACAGGAATTCGTCAATTTAAATACTTTTGATATAATCAAGTAAATTAATTTTTACTACACAAAACTGAATTTTCATACAATTAGAGTACAAACACATTTTGTTGTAAATGATATAAGACTAAATTTGGGTTTCCACTGCATTGTTTAACAATGATCTTAAGTTACTCAGTGTCAGTATGTCTATAACAGTTGAAAGTGTGGCAAATGCTATTGGAAACGCATATAGTTCGTCGAAAGTGGATGTTACTTTTTTGGGGATTTTATAGGTATTTTTTTATCTTGCTTCAATTTTCCAATATTGTCAATATTGTGGGAAGTCATTTCAACTGAATTACTCACATTTACTAAAATATCTCACAATTAAGTTATTATTTATTGCTTCAGTTCCAAGACCATTCCTACATGTGTGGATGTTGCCATATGTTGAGTAACAACAATCCTGTTACTTGTTACATGTTGCAAGTCTGGTCAAGATAGTTCCAATGACGTGGGATGGGATGACTCACATCTGGAAGATCTGTTCGTTTTGTCACAGATATAAGGTGTTTAGACTATTTTCCTTTATATTCCAATTGTAAATTATCTTTTTTAGCTCACATTGGACTTAGCATTAAAAAATTTAAAAAATCAAAATGAAAAGGTGATGTTTGAAATGCATGCATTGCCCCTTTTTTTTATAAAAACCGTGACGTGACATTATGTGTCGAAAAATTCAAGTTTTGTATAGGATCCGAAGATGGTATAGTGATACGAAACGCGTAATCCTGTTGGATAATCAAGGATCACAATGAGCAGTCTGTAGGTATTGTGTAACCTTTTAATTTTGATTTGCATAAAGTGGCCTAAAACAACTACAACATGAAATTAATAAATTGTTTCTGAAACTGTTTGGATTTGTAATTAAATATCTTCCCTTTACGAAATTTGTAAACATAGAAAGCAAAATCAACAGAACGTATCACAGAATATCTAAAAGTCATATATTACAGGGATTTACGTCGTTAATAACAAGATGTGTACAAAATAGAATCTCAAAAGAAATACAAAACGCTCTTACGATATTTTAAATAACATGTAGTCGTAGTACATTGTTGT